GACGGCTGGCGTGTTGTTGCTGTGACCTCATCACTATGGAGTCGTGGTTCTGATACACCTGAAGGAAACAGCAGATCACATTTCATCAGCACACGATGCGACAAAGACGATTTCATAAAGACGCTTCGAAATACACAGATGTGCACTGCTGTAGTAATGCTTCGATCTTTGTCCTCGGTTTCACTTCATCTGAAAACATCTGAATGTTGTGAAAAAGTTCAATATTTTGTCAACCTCTCATTGCAGAAAATGAAAGTCACACAGCTCAATTACTCATCCCGTGAAATATTTTAAGCCCTTTTTTCTTGTAAATGTTGACTATTATGGCCTGCAGCGGATGGAAATCCAAAATTCAACGTCTGAAAGAATTAGAATGTTGTGAAAAATGTACGACATATTCTTATAAAGTTGAGTGGAGGGAATTTTAGACATTTTTGGAAAAGTCTAAAACTAGTTCATGTTTTTTTTTTTTTTTTTTTTTGCAAATTACGTATCTTTGGTCAGACTGATGTTAAACTTCATTGTGCTTTATAAGACTTTCTAACACTGCAGATCACCCTAAAAACACAGTTCCCCACACTGACACAAGGAAGTGGCAGCATTGTGCTGTGGGTTCATGCAGACGGTTAAGGGGACGCGGATCAGAGTTCATGCATAGATGGACGAAGCATCCAAGGGAATCCTGGGAAAGCCTATAAGTTATTATTATTCCAACAGTACCAAAAAATATTATAACATAAAACTTTAAGTTTGTATTGCAAGCACAAAAACTTGTGTCCACAGATGTGGCAGAAACGTATTTGTAAGATTGATCATGGTTTGGCCTAAAAACTTTGGACAGCAGTTTTCTTACATCTTCTCCCCTGCACGTTTCCTGCACTTCCACGAAGTCGAGCTTTTTCCCGTCTGCAACGACGGCGACGTCTGGAACTACATCACTACAACAAAAATAATAAGAAAACATGCTTATCATTAATAACATAAATATAAATACTTAAATAGTTAGAGGAACTGGTCATAGGAAACATGACTGAGGGCTGAGCTGTAGTACTGAGTGCTGCATCCTCTCAGCAAGAATATTTCCTGTTTCAATACAAGTAAAGCAGATTTTTCTGTCTATAGTTTATTTCTTTTAGAACATTCATTGATGTTCTCCAGGTTCTTTCTCTCATTGCAAAAGCTGCTGATTGTAACAGCATCTAGTGAATAAAAAGTGGATAAAGAAATATGTTGCCACAAATTGAAGGTAGAAATAAAATTTATTTTAAAGTCAAACTGACAAATATTATAGAAACATAAAAATTTCACCATAACAATGTAACAGGTTTAAAATACTGCAGATATAATCTGCATTACTACCTTCAAAATTTAAAAAGAAACAGAGGCTGGTTCATCAAAAAGCTCTTATTTATTATGATGTGAGGAAAGTTAATGTAAGAAAACAAACTGCATCATTAAAACAATGATCAATTAGCATCTAAATCTTAAAACTAGTTAGAAATGTATAATAATTTCCTCTGCAGTGCATTTCATCATTTTGCTTTCCAACAATCAGAACAAAGATCTTCGTCTGTAACAAAGAGCTGGCTTTGCCAATCCTTCATCTCCTGTGTTTTACATGAAATGGTTGCAGTAGATTTGCTCAGTTTTCGTAGATTGCTGTGTATTCATCTGCATCTCCAGAGAGCGATTCTGTGCGCTGCGTCCTCTTCTGCTGTGAGAACATCGCATGATTGTTGTACATCTAAAAAAGAAGAAATAGATTACAATGGTTGGCGTGGGCGAGTCAGGTTACTGTCAGGTTTAGTTTAACATTAAAATGCAACTCATGTTCGAAGCCCTAGTCCTCGATGCGGCTGTCGTGAATTCGAGTGTTGACTTGATGGCCTTTTGTCTTCCTTCATTCTCACAACCAACTTTCCTGTCTGACACCTTTCAAATTAAAGCCTCCGGAGAAAACAAACTCTTGAGAAAACTCCGGAGTAATGTAGCACTGTAATTGTCATATAAACTAATGTTTTTATACAAAAACATCTAAAGTGCCGCCTCATGTTGGTACTGGACCGTGTACAAAAAACCATTTGGACTTTGGTTTTCTTACATCTTCTTCACTCGTCACGTCTTGTGCATCTACTGCCTCCAGTTTGCTTGTGTTCATGTCGACTGCTGCTTCAAGTGAAACAAAGCAAATGAAAATAAATTAGCTTTTGTTCACATTTGCCTTTGTTGAAACGAAGACACGAAGCTCACCTGTCAACTGGCGACGTTTGGTCTTGCAAACTTTGACCAGGATGATTATCAGTATCAGCAGCAGAACAGGAAGTGCAGCGAAAAGCCAGTACAAAGCTGCAGATGAAAGTCACAAATAAAGAGTAAAACAAATTCAAGATGAAATTACTTGACTTTCTCAAACACATTAGCCTTAAAGCACCATGCTGCTACAAGTAGGAAGGACTATTAGACAGTCCCTGAAGTCTACATGCTCCCCTATCGCTTCTTTTATACAGTTAGTCTTACTCTGATAATTCTTGAGTTGTAGTTTAGTTTAGAAACTTCTTAAATAACAAATGCTTTTTGCATATGATCACATGCAAAATGTGTTTTCTTCCAGGCTCTGAATACAGCTGCCACTCATAGAGAAGTGAGGTGGTTACCTGTCAAGGGAGAATAATAATTACTCAGAACAAATGGTGTCTACTGTTGAGTGAAACTTGAGCAAATGTTTGTGTAGAAAATGTTAAAAGTTTGGGTGCTAAAAAAAGATGGCAGCGATAAGAGGTAATGACTCCCCCGTCTTTTTTGTGTCCAGTCCTGGGTGTTTGGACAAATATTCCACCTGGGAGTAGAGACACCATGTGACGGTTCTGGGAGAGGCCATAAAGAGGGAGGAGTTTTGCACAAAGGTTTGTGGTGTTTAATGATGATGCTTTGGTGTAGAGATGAGATATAGTCCTTAAGACTAGCCAGCAGAAATGAGCAAAAACCTGGTGGGACTGTGCATGTGTGCTAAGATCATTTTAGGAGCTGCTTCTCAGTGTGTATGTGTGTGTGTGTGTGTGTGTGTGTGTGTGTGTGTGTGTGTGTGTGTGTGTGTGTGTGTGTGTGTGTGTGTGTGTGTGTGTGTGTGTGTGTGTGTGTGTGTGCCTGGGAAACACAGTACACTTCCACTTTACTAAGAAGTCAGGAAATAAAACCAATATTTAATGTTTAGCATTTCTTAAAAATCAGAAGGTAAATCATTGGGTGTTTCTTTCTGCTACTTTAGACCTAGAAAACGGAATAAAACAAGCCAGATTCAGAGTTTTATAAGTGAATGCTACACCAATAATGAAAGAACATTACTGAGTAACACTACGGAGTCCATGCCTTCCTCTTTACGAAGCCAATCCTAGAACATGGGGCTGGTTTTTATCAAGTTATTTCCAGCTTGCACTAGAGAGCAACCAACTCTGATAAATACACACCATATATATACATGCCAGATATGAATGTGGGGCTCTCTGCCACAAGCTCGGTTTCATTTCATCATCTCACCTTTTATTACGGACTCCTCTGACACACCACGCTGTTCTTCTTCGTCTGCGATGAGTAAAACACCAACAATAATAAACTATTAGTTCATCACCACAATCATCACGTCAAAACGTCTGGTTCTGTCCAAGCAGCTCATGCTTGTACAATTTTAAACTATCTTAGATTTATGATCTGCTTTATGAATAAAAACATCATTATTACATTCAGTTTGAAATTTTAAAAGCAATAGGGTGGCCTCAGTGTATCATCATGCTCTTACCTACAGTCAGATGAAACTGGGTGTAGTTTCCAACGCTCCACTCGGGGTCTGATCTACACCAGTATGTCCCAGAATCCTCTGCTTCAGGTTTTGTGATCACCACAGAAAAAAAGGGCATTAACACTATGCAGTGTGAATCTGCCTTGGTAAGTCATGTATGTGCAGTTGCTGCGCTGGTCTCCTTTGCAGAGGAACATCATGTTGTTGCGATGATGACGTGGATAAGGACACTGGAAGGTCACCGCACGTCCCACAATGAAACTCACGTTCTTTGACTCCACACAGCACCACTCTGACAAAAAACAACAAGTCACACTCTTCTATGACAATTGATCTCAACAAAGGTAGTTAGTTTGACTTCTCACCTTTGACCTCTAGTTCAACAGCAGAGAAAACATCAAATCCTGAGATTCTCTGGACTCCACAAAGATACGACCCAGAATCCTTCAGGGTCAGAGTGGAAATGGTCACTGTGAATATTCTTGACTTTCTGTCATCAGAGAGTCTGAATCGTCCATCTTGTGTGTTGCTAGAGTTGATCACTGCCTGCTGTCGACATGTGGAGGGCCGGTTTCCTCTGCAGAAGAACTTCAGCTTGTCGACAGACTGAGAGTCGTACGAACAGCTGATGGTCACTGAACCTTCCTCAGTACTTTGGATTTTATTCACCGTGTCGCAACATCTGTCTGATAGGAAGAGAAGAAAGTCTGTCAGGTAGTAAAAGTATAACTGTACAGTTTACCAGAAACATATGAATTAAATACATCAGCTTATGTAAAGTTGATCACAATCTATTAATTTGAGTGCATTAAAATGTATTTTTTTTTAAACTGCAAAAAACTTAAAACAACAAGTGATATTTAATGCATGCCTACTTGCTTATACAGTAATACTTGAAATATAAATATAATTAAATATAATTTCTTTTTTATTTAAATGATCAATTATTATGTGTGTAAAAAGTCCAGATGTTTCTTTTATTTACATTGTTTGATCAGATTTCAGTCTTTTTAAAGTCTGTCTGACTTCCTGAAACTTCCTGCTGTGTCTCAGTTTTCATTCTATTGGAGTTTGAAGAACAGCAAGTATATCTGGATAGATTTAATATAAAATGTTGCCATGGATGTTGAACCTTTAAGGAACAAATCCTCATCTAAGCCTAATCAATGATGAACAGCTGCTCACAAACAGGGCAGAAAAACCTGCAAGACCCTGAGAGTCTTTATAAACTAGGAAATATCATGAATATGGCAACTGTTATATCTATGTCCACGTTCACACTGATATATTTATGATCATTTAATATTGACATATCTTCATAGAAGTTATTGATAAAAACCAAGTAAATTTAACTGTGTTGATTCTGTGTTCACATAGTTTTAATTCCCTTGCTTTCCTTCCCAAAGCCTCAAAGTCTTTCACTGTAATTCAACATTTACTGTCAGTGTAAATTAGTTCTGACCGTCTGATTTCATTAAGACAGAATGAGGGAAGCTCAAAATGTTGCATCTCAGAGTCGCTTAAAACCGGAAACATTTTTGCCAAATCATCATTGTCTGTTTGTTCTGTAAAGTTCAGTCTATTATGTTAACTCAAATGTTTAACCTGCAGTTAAAACTATTTACCTTCTCTTACTTCCAGCTTTACTTCAATGTAGATATCTATTGCTCCTTTTATGTTCACTCCACACCAGTATGTTTGTTCATCATCCCAATGAAGATCATAAATGGTCACAGAGAAGATTCTTGATGTTTTGTCATCATAGGTGGAGTATTTGGTCTGATTTGTTTGTGATCTTGTTAAAACATCGTTATTGTCACATGGGTCTTTACACAGATACTTCTCATTATTTTCATAACCTTCGTCATATGAACAAGGAACATTCACGTCTCTTCCTTTGTATCCAAACACATGGATCAAACCTGCAACACGACTCACACAACACACAGCAGCTGGAAACAGGAGAGAACAAAAATATAATTAATGCAACTAACTTTAATTTTAAATTATTGTCTTTTGCAAAAAATATAAATTCTTAGTCTGACTCCTCAGCAAACTGTAAACATATAAATAGAAAAGGCCACATCTATAAAAGACAATGATTAGATTGTAAATGTATTTATTTAAAAGCAAACAGAAAATCAAAAGTAGTATGTCAGCGACTGCAGAGGGAGCCATCTTGTCTATTTGATTTTATACTACATTTTTATGACGTTAAGATGACAAAATCTTCCCTGCATTTTAAAGCCACTGGAAACAGTTTAATTTATATTAGTAGACAAATTAATACTAAAACTCACCAGATAAGATGAAAAACACGATCTGGAAGCTCCACATCTTTGCACTACTGAGGACGACAAACCAAACCAGAAATAACGTTGAAGTGAAGCATGAAGTATTTCAAGGAAACCACATTGATCTGATGAGTTCAGCCCTCTGCACAAACATCAGCAAAACTCATGAGTGAGGTCTAAATGATCATTTCCTCTATTTTTCAAATAAAGAGTTAGAGGAACTGGTCATAGGAAACATGACAGAGGGCTGAGCTGTAGTACTGAGTGCTGCATCATCTCAGCAAGAATATTTTCTGTTTCAATACAAGTAAAGCAGATTTTTCTGTCTATAGTTTATTATTTTAGAACATTCATTGATGTTCTCCAGGTTCTTTCTCTCATTGCAAAAGCTGCTGATTGTAACAGCATCTAGTGAATAAAAAGTGGATCAAGAAATATGTTGCCACAAATTGAGAGTAGAAATAAAATTTATTTTAAAGTCAAACTGACAAATATTATAGAAACATAAAAATTTCACCATAACAATGTAACAGGTTTAAAATACTGCAGATATAATCTGCATTACTACCTTCATGATTTAAAAAGAAACAAAGGCTGGTTCATCAAAAAGCTCTTATTTATTATTATGTGAGAAAAGTTAATGTAAGAAATCAAACTGCATCATTAAAACAATGATCAATTAGCATCTAAATCTTAAAACTAGTTAGAAGTGTATAATAATTTCCTCTAATTTTATCATTTTGCTTTCCAACAATCAGGAAAATGTTAAAAGTTTGGGTGCTAAAAAAGTGAGATGGCAGCGATAAGAGGTAATGACTCCCCCGTCTTTTTTGTGTCCAGTCCTGGGTGTTTGGACAAATATTCCACCTGGGAGTAGAGACACCATGTGTCGGTTCTGGGAGAGGCCATAAAGAGGGAGGAGTTTTGCACAAAGGTTTGTGGTGTTTCATGATGATGCTTAAGTGTAGAGATGAGATATAGTCCTTAAGACTAGCCAGCAGAAATGAGCAAAAACCTGGTGGGACTGTGCATGTGTGCTAAGATCATTTTAGGAGCTGCTGCTCAGTGTGTGTGTGTGTGTGTGTGTGTGTGTGTGTGTGTGTGTGCGTGCGTATGTATGTGTGTGGGGGTGTGTGTGTGTGTGTGTGTGTGTGTGCCTGGGAAACACAGTATACTTCCACTTTACTAAGAAGTCAGGAAATAAAACCAATATTTAATGTTTAGCATTTCTTAAAAATCAGAAAGTAACACAATGGGTGTTTCTTTCTGCTACTTTAGACCCAGGAAACGGAATAAAACAAGCCAGATTCAGTGTTTTATGCGTGAATGCTACACCAATAATGAAAGAGCATTACTGAGTAACATCACAGAGTCCATGCCTTCCTCTTTACGAAGCCAATCCTAGAACATGGGGCTGGTTTTTATAAAGTTATTTCCAGCTTGCACTAGAGAGCAACCAACTCTGATAAATACACACCATATATATACATGCCAGATATGAATGTGGGGCTCTCTGCCACAAGCTCGGTTTTATTTCATCATCTCACCTTTTATTACGGACTCCTCTGACACACCACGCTGTTCTTCTTCGTCTGCGACGAGTAAAACACCAACAATAATAAACTATTAGTTCATCACCACAATCATCACGTCAAAACGTCTGGTTCTGTGCAAGCAGCTCATGCTTGTACAATTTTCATCTAACTGGATAAAAAGAATGAATTTGACATTGATTGAAGTCCACTTTTCCCTGATAAGTCTGTTTGAAATGTGTTTAAATAAGAAGAACTTCAGTATGGTTAAAACCAGGCCCATAAACAACATGTTTCTTTGAGGTTGCTCTGTTATACTTCTTGAAATCGACTGCAAATTAAGTGTCTGCTTTGGTCCAGTTAAGCAGAACTCTTTAGATTGCATTTTTGGAGAAGAGAAGATATCCACACATTAAATTTGAACACGTTGAATATGAAGGCGAGAATGAAAGAAAAAAAAAACAGTTTCATTTCCCCATCTCACCTTCCACTTTGGGCTTTTCAAGCAACATGTTGTTTGTTGCTTTCACTGCAACAAGCAACATGCCAATTCTAAGAAAATGCAAGTTTTCAATACAAAACATAAAAACCATGCATCCATTTTGGTTGTTAGATTTTCAGTTTACGTTTGTATCGCCGTGCTCTGAACATTGTGCAGTGTGAATATACCTTTATAAGACATGCTGCTCTGGTTAGAGGAACATCATGTTGTTACGATGAACACTTGAAGGTTGCAGCATGTCCCTTAGTGCCATGCTTCAAAAATCTGACCCAGAATCTTTCAGAGTCATATTGAAAGATGTCACAGTGAATATTGATGACTTCCTGTCATCACTGGACACTGAGCCATCCTCACGAACACATTTCAATTCAAAGCTCCAGTTTATTCACATTTATTCTATCATTTAGATGTGCAGTTTAGAGTTTAGATATTTCTCACACTGCTTACACCTGTCATGTTTTGTTCATTTTTACAGATACAATTGCGTTTCCTCATTTGTGCATAGTTTGACATTGTGAGATAATTATTTTATTTTGCTGGTTTAGCTGTTTGTCCTCCTTTCCCTTTTTTTTTCACCTCTGACAAATGAAAATTGCTCTGAAATAAGACATAAAAAATCTAATCTGAGTACTTAAATAAAGATTCACATTAATTTAGGCTTAAATAGTCCATTGAGAATTATTTCATATCGTCCCCACGACCCCCGCAGACGAAGCTTTGGACGTCCTCTAAAACATCTGCAGCTGATGTGTCTGCAAACCGAAGCTTCGATTCTTTATCTGGAAACTTTTCTCTCTGAAAAAAAAAAAGACGCATACGTTATGGAATTGATTTATGTCAATTTTTGTCTTCACATTGAAGACAAAGACAAGCTCACCTTCAATGTTTTGTGACATTTATTCTTGTAAACTTTAACTAGGACCAATGTCACCATCAGCAGCAGCCCAGCAGCTAAAGCAAGCAGGGCATAGAAAGCTGGATCTGAAAGTTGGTGGAGAGTCGCGTCTGCCATGATTAGAAAAAAGAGAAGAGAAACGTTTATGCACATACAACGCTATTTCTCAAACACATTAAAATAACAACTTAGAGTGTTTGAAGTGAGATAATTAAGGCTTTTAGGCATAAATCCAGGTGGTTTGACTTGAACATGTTGTCACATCGGTTTAGGAGGAAAAAACACCTTCACATAAACTCCTGAGACACTGATAAAGGCTTCATCCTCTACAGAACCAACTACCTGGATTTATAAGAGTTATCTTCTGCAGGTCACTAACAGAACCTGAAAAATTAAACAAAGGATCATAATGAGCAGAGGTTTTGGTTTGAGCTCTTTTCAATAGACATTAACCAACCAATCTGTCTCCAGATTCTAACCTTGGACAGCAAAATAAATACTGTCTAGTTGGCAAAAAAAAAACAAATCAACCAAATCCTTCAAACAATCCACTAAAGCCAAGAGATGACGTGTTCAGGATACACTTTTCCCCGATGGTTTTCTCTACATAGTGTCACTTATTTTTCTGTTTTCATGCAGAAAGCATCTGCTCTCAGCTTCCGCAGCAAACACAGCATCACCCAAATAGACTGACATGATCTCATGCAGTTGGTGATGGAGCTGGCAAACAGTGGGGATTCACTTATTCTGTAAGTTTGTGCGAACCCAAGAGCACTTGAATCCCATTCAAGCTGAATTTTGGCTGAGTTTAAATTGTTAAATGTTTTTACACCTGATGTACAAAACTGAGGTTGTTTTCAGTGAGGTGGTTTCTGTAGATGCCTCTCTCACCTACAGAAAGATGAAGCGGGTGGAGTTTCCAACATTGCCTCTGGGCCGGAGCCACACCAGTACGTTCCAGCATCTCCTGCTTCCAGCTTCGTGACTGTGACAGAGAAAGAGCTGGAGGAAACATTGATCAGAATGAACCGACTTTGATCCATCATGTTTGTGCAGTTGCTGGCTCTGTCTCCCTTGCAGAGAAACATTGTGTCATTGGGATGCTGGGGTGCATAAGGGCACAGGAAGGTCACACTATGCTCCATCACACCACTCATGTTCTGTGACTTTGCACAGCACGACTCTGCTGAAAAAATAGAGACATTGGTGTTTTTTATTGGTTTTTTTTTTTTGAGAGAAAATAGGATGAAATCACAAAAAATCGAGGTAGCCTGCTTGGGTTCTCACCTTTGACCTCTAGTTCAACAGTATAGAAAACATCAAATCCTGAGATTCTCTGGACTCCACAAAGATACGACCCAGAATCCTTCAGGGTCAGACTAGAAATGGTCACTGTGAATATTCTTGACTTCCTGTCATCAGAGAGTCTGAATCGTCCATTTTGTGTGTTGCTAGAGGTGATCACTGCCTGCTGTCGACATGTGGAGGACCGGTTTCCTCTGCAGAAGAACTTCAGCTTGTCGACAGACTGAGAGTCGTACGAACAGCTGATGGTCACTGAACCTTCCTCAGTACTTTGGATTTTATTCACCGTGTCACAACATCTGTCTGACATTAAGATAAACAACAATATAAAAAATAACCTCCTCTTTGAGCATAAAAACAATGCTTAATTGAAAGAAACAAAAAACTCCTCAAGGAATATTGTTATCTTTGTTTGCTGTAATTTATTCCAATTTATTCATGTCTATTTATTTATTTATAATGCAGTAATAAAGCATTACTGCTTTATCAGTATCAAGCAGTAATGGAAGCAGTCAGTGTGTGTATCATGCCTAATTATAACTTAAATAAGTAACTAATAAAACATTATTTAACCTGCATTACTCAATGAGTACATTAGACACCACATATAAAAACGGTTATTGTTTGTCTTGTCCTAATCTTTACTGACATGTTGAAACACCAACTTCAATATTTACCTGCTTTTACTTCCAGCTTTCTTTCAATGCTTATATCTTTTCCTATCCTTGTCACGCCACACCAGTATTTCCCAGCGTCATGAAGTCGAAGGGCAGATATGGTCACTGTGAAAACTCGGGTTGTTTTATCGTCGTGAATGGAGTATTTTCCACTGCTTCCTTGTGATGTTGTTATAAGAACATCGGCGTAACGACAGTTGTTGTTGCACAGGTATTTCTGACGACCCTCGAATCCCCGATCGTAGGGGCAGGAGAGGTTCACGTCTCCGCCCTCATATCCAAACACCTGGATCGAACCTGCAGCGCTGCTTACAGGTGCTGGAGAGAGGAAACATTAACATGCTTTATTTTTTTAAATATTTTTACTTTAAAAGATTGTTTTCTATCTTAATAACTCAATACCAAATGTATCTGTATGTTTCCATGAGTACATGGAGTACCTTCAGTCAGTTCCTCAGAAACCAGTGGTGTTGTGGTTTTCATTGTGGTGCTCTGATGATAATCCACTGCCAGGAAAAAGAAGAAAAAAACTGTCAGTGCAGATTTTATGTTTTTACAGTTAAAGTTAAACCCGAAATGATTCATACTCCTGGGAGATTAAACATTTAGGTCTAAAGAAAGTAGTTAAAGTTTAGAAGTGTGCTTCTTCTTCTTAGAGGAAGCCATGGTGCTGCGGAGAAATCTCAACTTGACTCTGACAGAGAATCTGAGGATGACGGCAAGGAGGATTTCCAAAGAAATGGAGCTCATCAAACATCCAGTGGAAACATGTCAAAAGCTGGTCAGCAACTTTAAAGTCAGCTTGGCTGCTTCAATGCTAATAAAAGGTTTTCAACCTTGTTAATAAGAAGAGTAAAGGTTTCCCACATGGTGTGTTTATTTGAATGTAAATTAAAGCATCTAAATTATTTTGTTCAAACTGACACACAGTTCACACTGTTTCATTTCTTGTCAGCAGCTGATTTTGTGATTGTCTGGGAAAAGCTGTAGAAACAAAACCTGCCAGAGGTAATAAACACTTTGGGTTTACAGTTGTATATAAAATAGAAATATGATTCTGTCGGTAAATATTACACACTTGTAACACTTGTGGTGATTTCACTAGCGACTTTCTGATTGCAATATTATTCATAATCACTTCCTGAAGTATGAAACGCAGAAAGCCAGCAGCAATCTCATAAACCCTTGTCTTTAATATTCAGGTGATAATTGTAGAGCGTGTGCAGTTTGTTTGTGCGGTCTCTCAATATATCAAACACACACAGTACCTTTATCCTGTTCCTCTGATGCTGGTGGTGTGGTAGTAATGCTGCTCTGATGCTGATGCACTGTTAGAGAAATAAAACAACTCAATTTTAACACATTGTATTTTTTTTTTTACCGTGATCTTCGTCTACAGTAGCCAAACATCTCAGCACATTCAGGTTAAGTGAACTCTGAGCATTGAAATTTCCACACATGGTCAGATGATCTATGAAAATAGAAAACCAAAGAGGAAAAAAATAACACAAAAAACGTCAACACAAATGCACAGTTTCAAACCAGGAGCACAGTGAAAGCATAAGATCCCTCTCTGCCCCGTTTCCTCATGTTTTTCAAAACCTCACCGTCTGCGACAAGATCGAAAACTTTGAGGGCAATTGAAGAAGGTCAGACATTGTCATTTGCTAAACTTACCATTCCTGCTGCAACAAGGAGGCCTACTGAAACCGTTCTCTCTGTTTTGTGTGTGTGTGGCCTGGTCTCTCTGTTTTGTGTGTGTGTGGCCTGGTCTCTCTGTTTTGTGTGTGTGTGGCCTGGTCTCTCTCACCTTCTGTCGTGATGCTAGGTGGCAGAACCTCGAGGTTTTTTCTCCTCTTGCATTTTGTTCTTCTTTTTCTGTCACAACCAAGAAGTAAAATGAGGCCAACTGTGTAAAAACAAGAGAAAAACGCAGCTCATGCTGCAGCATCAAGGTCGACAACAATCAATCGAGGACATCCGTGGCATCAATGTTAATGGATCTAAACTGTACATCATAATTTATGACATATTTTAAAAAAAATTATCAAGCTTAACTAATTTGATGATGTATATTTGTCACCTGTGGGTTTTTTTTTTGTCAATTCTACCCAGATTTCTTTCATTAAGAATGTTCCACTTAAAAGAATTTGAGGTAAGGGTTCATCTCTCACCTTTGACCTCTTCAACAGCAGAGAAAACATCAAATCCTGAGATTCTCTGGACTCCACAAAGATACGACCCAGAATCCTTCAGGGTCAGACTGGAAATGGTCACTGTGAATATTCTTGACTTCCTGTCATCAGAGAGTCTGAATCGTCCATTTTGTGTGTTTCTAGAGTTGATCACTGCCTGCTGTTGACATGTGGAGGGCGGTTTCCTCTGCAAGAACTTCAGCTTGTCGACAGACTGAGAGTCGTACGAACAGCTGATGTTCACTGAACCTTCCTCAGTACTTTGGATTTTATTCGTCGTGTTTGCAACATCTGTCTGACAGGAAGAAAAAACTGTTTTCTACAGCAAAAGTTACACAAAAATGCAATTCTAAGAAGCAAAGAGACAGAAATGTAGAAATCTTTGAAAACTTTGACGTACGCGTCCAGGCCAGAAATAGTAGATGTTCATATCATATGTTTTAAGTTTTTAACAATTAAATACTGAAATAATATGACAGCAACAAAAGCACAAATCTCTTATTGTATTGTTGTTTCATTTGAACTGAAACAAATTTATGATCTAATACAAAACATTCAAAATTTTGATGAAGTTCAAAAATGTGCTTCAAACAATATGAGGTAATATTTTGCTGTTGTTCTTTTTAGGCAATCTGTGTTCAGTCGTATCAATCTTATTCTCTTCTACGTGAATTTTGTTTTTAAATCATGGCTCATTTAAGTGTAACACTCTCCAGCTGCCATCTTTGTGCTTTATTCAATCAAAAACATCTTATGTCTATATTTCAGCTGCTGTTGTGGTCATAGTCTTGTTCAGTTCGGCAGCATAACTGATCAATGATTATTTAAACAAAAACAGGAATCAACGTGGATCATCCATAGGTTTTTTTTTTATCTTACTTCTCCTTCTTCTTCTGCCTTTAATTTGTTGCTTTGTCTTATTTCTAAGGACAATCCGTTCAATGTAGAAATGAAATTAGTAGAAAAGTAATTTATCATTCCCGAGTTTCCACCATCCACCTTGACACACACCGACCTCCCTGGATTCAGCTTTTTTTCTGCATCTACCAGTGAGCTCGTACTTTATATCATTCGTAATTAAGAGTTTGATTATTTACCTGCTTTTACGTCCAGCTTTACTTCAGTGTAGATGTCTTTTCCTGCTCTGGTCACTCCACACCAATATTCCCCGGCGTCCTCCAAACGAAGACCAGAGATGGTCACTGCGACGACTCTTGCTCTTTTGTCGTCGTAAACGGAGTATTTGGTTTTATTTTCTTGTGAGGTCTTGATGAGAAAATCACTGTAGCCACAGCTGTTCTTACACAGGTACTTCTGTATGTCTCATATCCTGGATCGTACGGACAGGAAACCGTCACATCGCTCCCTCGTATCCAAACACACGGATCAAACCTGCGGCGCCGCTCACACAGCTCAGAGCTGCTGCAGAGAGAAGACAACATTAACTGAGTTTTCAAGTATTTTCTCCTCTTTAACATTGTGTATAATTTTTTATCATTTTCAGATCTGTTCCCATGAAATAAATGCAATGAAAAGCTTGTTCTTTTTCTATTTTTCTTAATCACCTGGCAGAAATATTTGTTTTGAAGAAACTTGTTTGGAGAAAATAAATCAACACCCAGCAAGACAATTTCCTCAAAATCAAATTTTATAACTTACTGCACAACATGAGCTGCAGGTTTTGAAGGTTCCACATCGTTGGTGAAGACAAGAAACTGAAGCAAAAACCAGAACAAACAGCAGTGAGAAATGTTTCTGAGGAAGCAGTGAGTCAATGGAGCAAACAAAACATTCAGAGCACATTTGGCAGATTTAAATCAACAACTGAGCCGATTTTTACTTGGTTTTGCTCCAGAATTTGCATGTATTTCACTCTTTCAGAGTCATTTCAACAACAGATTGAGTTGCTTTCACTCTTTCAGCTGTTAGATGTCAAGAATCCACAGGTGGCAATCCAGAGCAACAGCATCACCTTGTGGCCACTGCGGCTTTTATTCATGTATTATTTATTATTTTTACTGTCGGCTGGAATTAACGAGCCCATGAATGGAATATTGAAGCAGCTATTTCTGTCGTTGTACCTGAACATTGCAAACAGGAAGTTATTAATCATCATTATTTCACACACACACACACACACAAACACACACACGCACACACACACCACACACACACACACACACACACACACACACACACACACACACACACACACACACACACACACACACACACACACACACACACGCACACACACACGCACACACACACACACACCTACTAAGGCATGCTACTCGGTTTTACTGACATCGTGGGGATTCCTACACACGTCTACATCCCAGAATAACACGCGACCCAAACTCTTGAAATTTGCCTCTGAAAATACAATCATGAAGCACTTTCATCCCTAAAGCTTCCTGAATGACCCAAACCAAGAACGTCTGGGTTCTGGAACTCAATAAAAGGATGTATAAGTTCATACATAGATCTCTCTTCTGCTTTTGTTTCCTATGTTTGGTAAAATAGTCACAGCAGTAAATTGTCTGCGAAAATAAAAATAAATAGAAAAAAACATGAATAAATACATGAATAATCATGATAAATGAATAATAATTAAAAATAATGGTGGATAAAAAGCTTAAGACCAAATGCAAAATTAAATCATATACAAATCTATAAATCTCATGTTAAATAAATACAAAATATTACTTTTTATTTAAGTATTTTATATCAGCTTGAGTTATGCAGAACTGATCTGATCATTGCTATGGAAACGATCAGAAGCAAGACGTTGCGGCTGAAGTCCAGTGAGGTCACTGATGAGGTCACTGATGAGGTCACTGATGAGGTCACTGATGACATTTACATCACAATAGATCAAAGAGGTTCTGATGCTTAAAAGATTGAATCTGAAAGCATCAGCCAGAAGATACTGGAGCATCAGAGTAGAGCATCATCATTACACAGCTGTCATGTTTGGCCTAGCTAAAGCATTCGTCCCTTTTCTCATCCCCCTCGGTTGGGGAATTGGCTACGCGGTAACCACCAGCATGCAGAAGCTCACGGATCATACTTTTCCGGGAAGGATTCGAAAGAAAACGCCGATCAACGTGGAGAGGAGGATTTGCTCTGGAAGGGTCCAACACCCACTTCCACAGAACAGACTGACCCGAGTGGGACCTCGGCCTCTATCCCCTCAAGGACCGTCCGTACAGAGGACGACACCACTGCCTCTGAGCAAACCTGCCCGGCTGGGGAGGTTTGCTCAGAGCAGACAACTGGTGTTGTGGACTCTGTACCAGACAGTCCTGAGGGGATTCCGACTGTCGACGAACAAACTGACCCGGCCGGGGAAGTTTGTTCAGAGACGGCGGAACATGAGGGCGAGGGAGCGGTTGTAGAGAAGTCTCCCCCGGCTGGGGAAGACTTGTCTGCGACTGACCTCGCGCCAAAGCTGTGGCTGACGCCACAGAGAAAGCTTTGGTTTCCCTGGTCCCATCGTTGGCCCTTCCTTTAAATTCTCCTCTCCGCTCGTCTTACACAGGAACTTTTCCAATAAGATGTTCCCTGGCCGAGGAAGCTCAAAATACTCTGTCTGCAACAATTTCCGTTGGCCTAGAGATCGATTGTCCCCCGGACACGAAAAAAGAAGAAGTCGGCTCAGCTTTCCCAGGGACAGAGGGGACGGCATTGGTGGGCCATGGACTAGCGGACGATGGACTCCGCTACAGCTGGGTGGACGCTGCTCTCCAGAGCGTCCTGAACCTGGGCGTCACACGGAGGTGTCTCGCTCAGGAAAGGGACTTTCTGGAGGCTTCGTCCATCCCCAGTTGGACGAGGCTCATCTCTCTGCGGTCCGTGACCCCGGCAGACATTTTTGTACGGAGGACCTTTCCCCGGTGTTGATGGAGCTGAGGGAGAGGTGTCAGCCATCGGACCTGGGAAGGGACTTGGATATAAAATGTTTGTTGGAGTCGTCCATGGTCTGGCTGGACGCTTTCGGAAGTGCCACAGATAGGGAGTTGTACAACAACAACTCTTGTTCTGTCTGTGGCACGATGTTTCTTGAGCTGCTAAACAACGGCTCCCTGATCTCCCTTCCACCGGTGAGATTTCCAGCCAGCATTGCAACGCTCTTGTACTACTGGCTGGATGTGCGGGGGAAACGCCGTTGCTCAGTGTGCGAGTCGGCCTTGGAGAGAAAGCACTGCCTTACTAACAATAAGGTGCTAGTGTTTTTCCTCCACAGGCTGACCAGGAAACACCGGATAGTTTCCAGTCAGGTCGTGGATGTGCCGGCCAAATGC